CACTTAAGTATTCTGGAATGTGTGTGGTTAATTTTTAAAGTAGAAAAAAAAAATATAATATTATTTAATAAAACCGGTTTTCGTGGGTTACAGTAACTTGGATCAATCGCATGCGCAACTGCTTTAATAAAGTATTTTTTTTCATGATCAATACAAGCTGGCGTGTTTTATAAACAAAACAGAGATGAAAGTAAGTAAAATACAAACAGAATCGATCAATTCTTTAGGAATGTATCAGTAAAAGTTGTCGCTTTTATCATATGTCCTCTGAAACTATGAAAACGGTGGTGGTTGGAATTGCATCAAATAAATCCTTTAATATGTTTATATTTATATTATTAAATAAGCAATCATAAATGAAATGAACATTTAAATATTAATTTACTGTTGATTTCCACATCGTTTATGCTATCAAAATAGTCAATCAGCCTGACATGTGCCCGGGGTGCCCAGATTGCCTACAAGACCCACTGTGCCACTATACTGCAACGAGAAACAGTGACTGTGGAAAAGACGAAGTCTGTTGTAAAGAAGGTTGTACTACCGTGTGCCGAAGGAAGAAAGTAGATTATTGTGTAGACTTTGGCAGACGATACGAAATCGGCCAGTCTTTCAAACCGGATAAGTGCACAGTATGTTTGAATAGATTGTTTTATGTATAGAGAACTTTTTTGTCTCAGTTCCATCAAAAACAATGATTTATAACTTAAACAAAACTGTAATTCTATGATTTAAGTAATTCTTATTGATGAACATGTCACCTAAGATTTTATTACCTCACGAACACTATATATTAAGCCAATAAGGTGTTGATGAGTCGACAAACAAACGCACAGACAAATACAACTTTAACAATTTGAAGAGCCATCACATTGAGCTCGGGCGATGTACTATATCGTTCTCATGTTGCGGGAGCCCGAACATGCACGCACGTATGCACGCACACGCGCACGCACGCACGCACGCACGCACACACACAACATTCGTTCGCCTTTAAACAATAACACGGATCTGTTTAAGTCATTAAGTGTTTTGTGTATGTTACATTTTTATGTCGTCTGCTGTTATATTCTTTTTTTAGAACTGCACGTGCATGTACAATGGGGAAGTGACGTGTACATCTATGTCATGCGCGACCATTAAGTGTCGATATGGGAGGGAACCGATTACCAAACCAGGACAGTGCTGCCCGACATGTCCAGGTTCGATCTGTAGGATGAAATATAACTACAAATTTGTTATTTTCTTTCATTTTTTCTCATTCTTAGTTTATTTTGCTCAAAAATTCTAATTTTACTTTACTATTTTTTTATCATTTATACATCATATTGCAAATAACCGTTTATATTCAGCCATATAACCAGTCAAGAATCTTTATAAATTTATAATACTGCAAACTTCCTTTATTGAAGGAAAAAATGAAATAACTTCTTTAATCGACTGCAGCCAGGGATTTAGATTATTACAGAATTATCTTATATGAGAAATGTGAGAAACGAAGAAAAACAAAAAACAGCAGCTATGAACTTTGTATAAAGATTACATAAATATGGCGATTATACTAACGGGCAGTATTTATTGTAATATTATATCTATCACATACCCGTGTCACTATTGTGACTCCATAAAAAATAATTTGGCATGGTCATGCATATACATGTAATATGACGAAACGTTTATGCAAATCAATAAATAAATGTTCTATGGAAGTTACTTAAAACTCTGTAAATTGAGACTGAATATATCTCCTTTACATGCTTTAGATTTTGTATAGCCACCATCTTTTGAATTTGAGCCGAATTCTGAATTATTGAAGGCCTAATCCCCGAGTATTGTGTTTATATTTCTTGAGCCGCGTCACGAACAAACCAACATAGTGGGTTTGCGACCAGCATGGATCCAGACCAGCCTGCACATCCGCGTAGTCTGATCAAGATCCATGCTGTTCGCTATCAGTTTCTCTACTTGTTAAGGGGTTGTAAGCGAACAGCATGTATCCTGATCAGACTGCGCGGATGCGCAGGCTGGTCTGGATCCATGCTGGTCGCAAACCTTTTATGTTGGTTTTGTCGTGACGCGGCTCATTTCTCGTTTATAGAAACACCATCTCGTGTACCACCGACGCTATATGGGTGTCCTACCGGTGTTCTCCGTTTAAACACAACTTATTACGAGGATTATTCATTGATTGATCAAGAGAATACCCACATCCAGGCAATGGATTCAGAGAACGCACCATTGGAGGTAACCATGTTTATTTTCTTCGCTGAATCAAAAAAGAGTTGTCGTTCTTTTTACAAACAGGTGCTCCTTTATAACTTTCTTTGGGAAATATTCATTATTTTCAGAAAGTAAAAGGCGCATCAGAGATAAAGAAAAGGTTTCTACAAACAATGTCATTTTTTATTCAGGAAAAATAAAACCCACAAAACAAACAATACAAGAAAACAATAAACAGAAAAGAACAATAAGTGAAAAAAACCTGTGCGCTACAAAAAATATGCAATACATATGTTTGAAAAAGTATGAATAAGCTTATTGTATATTGATTGATATTGTGCAGGAAGTTGTCAAGTATGAAATGCAAGTCTAATATTTGAGCCGCGTCACGACAAAACCAATTAATTCGTATACGACCAGCGCAGTCTGATCAGGATCCATGCTGTTTTCGCTATCAGTTTCTCTACTTGTAATAGGACTGGTAAGCGAATAACATGGATCCTGATCAGACTGCGTGGACGCGCAGGCTGGTCTGGATCCATGCTGGTCGCAAACGCAATATGTTGGTTTTGTCGTGACGCGGCTCATTTATCGTATACCATATACATGACACAAGACAGCTTGTTAAATGCACATAAAGTTGTTCTGTATGTTGTAATTGATGTTGTATACCACACTTACGTGTAATTTTATATATATCATGTATATAATTATGCTTATAAAACTATTTTCAAACATCGAGGAATATGTAAAACATTTACTGAAAATATGTGTGCACATTATATTTGTATGTAATCATTAAAATAAATGCATTCATTCTTTATTGAAAAATTTGGCTATTAGACTTTATAGAAAATAAATTTTAATTACCTCCTTTTATTTACATGAAATATTAAATAATGCTTTTTGGAACTTACAATATTGATAAATCTTTATTTGAGCATCATATTTATGATATAATACATAAGAAATGTGTAACAGGATCTTTAATCAATTCCTTATTTCATAATAATAGGTGAGATTTGAACCACGGTTTGTAAAACACTGTCATTGCAAGGACGCATCAAGAAAGGTGTCCTTCATCAAGGCGTTTGCAACAGATAAATACGGGAACATGGCAGCATGTACATTCAAAGTTACTGTACACGGTAAGATATCTTCCCGAAATAATTTTATTTTGTTTTTATTTGTGCGTTATGATATCTAAAATTTTTGATCGGTTATATGGCCCAATATATAAACTGTCGAAAATTTATATAACCAAAGACACCCCGTATTTGTAAACTGCTTGACAGCATGCCCAGGTGGCTGAACTGTGCTCTTGTGAGTTCAATGTGGCTTACTGTCTGGTCTGTGCTGAAAATTACCAACACCAGCGCTAGCACTATAACCAAAGCAAACAACTGTTTATATTAGATAAGTTTTGGTTATAAAGATGTGTCACCGTTTGTATGACTCATTATAAACCGTTGAAAGATTATATAACCAGAGCCGCTACACGAGGATTATATTGCAAAAATTGTTTATACCATATAACATGTCAGATATCTGCTTAATGAATTTATAATATGGCTAAATTTCTTTATTAGTTACTTGACATTTTATAATACTGCACGTTTGTAACATCACTTTTTATTGGATAACCGTGAGGTTTATATAGTTTTATATTAAATTTTCTAAGAAATCTGTTGTATAAGTTGGTTAGAAAGACAATAGGTTATATGATCGTATAAAAGGTGCATGACAAGGTAACCACAACATTTAGTAATATAAAAAAAATCTTCCATTCTTTAGATATATTTGCACCAATATTTAAATCATGCCCGGAAGACATCTACGTCTTTGAGAATTATCCGGTTCGTTGGGTGGAGCCAATCTCTTATGATAATGTAGGCGTGTCTTACAAAACCTGCTCAGAACTGAACGGAAAAGTACTTTCGGTTGGCGTGTACCCATTGACATATCACATACAAGATTATGACAGAAACTCTGCCTTCTGTAGATTTCGCATATCTGTCACACGAGAAGGTAAGAAAAGAAAGAACAAATATATTGTTTGATTGATTAATTGTGGTTGATAGTGTTTGCTTGATTGAATTTTCTTATTGATGGATAAATCAATCAATTGGTTAATTGATCAGTAGATTCGATCTGATTTTTAAATTTTCGCTTCTATGTATTTACACTACAGTACCTAATTTTAGTAAATCTGTTCCTGTTTGTTTTTATTTCGCCGCATTTTTTTCCACACTGTGTATTTTCTGATGTATGGGATTCTAAAAATATATCTTTGTTCATCTTCACCAATCTTATATATCAAAGAGGTTGCTAAAAGTTTGCTGTCTTTTAAAAAATATATTTTTTTTGTATGATTGATTCATAGCTAGTAAAACTATTTTGTCGATTACTTTGCCTGGTAAAAATTTTGAAAACTTTTTGCATAACGTTATTTGAGTAAATGTAAATTGGTTATTGGTAAATGTTATTGGTTTTGGTTATTGGGCAAAAGATGTCGCGAATTTCGGATTCGCCATGTTTGATAAGCCACGTACAGCAAAAATCAACATTTTATCGTAGCCATTTTTATAAAATGCATAGTTTGAATCCCAATTTTATTATTACATTGGAGATTTGTTGCTTTATTTAATTTCATATGTAAATTTATTACAGACGCATCCATTGAGGACATGCCACAAGGACTAAAGAATCGATCAAAGGACAAACCACAAACTATGTTGATAAGTAAGAAAAACGTGCATTTAACGTCAGAGAAATGACGTCAGTTTTACATACAAACAGACAAACAAGCCTTTAATTAAGCAATATGACTGATTTAATGGCGAAACATTGAAATTCATGCTACTATGAATTTCGTTGAAATATGTAAATAAAATATTTTCCGCAATATTCAATGTTTTTCAGAGCCACTATTGTTTATAAATTATTTAAAGGGGTAATTATAAGCTTGGATTTCTAACTGTGCAATGATTACATGAAGTCAACCACTGTTTTATGCTATGAAATGATCAAGACAAGTAAAAATATATTGAAACTAAATTTTGAGAATTTTTTTGCAAAACTTTTTTTACTTAAACTAGTAAGTACTAACAATTGATCAACGCTTAATTTAAACGCTGACTGGCAAATTTCGCACCAGAGATAAACAATAATAAATAAATGAATAAATGAATAAATAAATGAATAAATGAATGAATAAATAAATGAATAAATAAATAAATAAATAAATAAATAAATAAATAAATAAATAAATAAATAAATAAACAAACAAATATATAAATATAGAGCAGATCTATCTTGATAAATGCAACACATAAGGATCTTATCTATAGGGAATGCAAATGAATGACAATAAGAAATGTGTGTAATGGGGGTGGGGATGGGGGATTTGGCGGGGACATTGGGGAAGAGAGTCAAGTCATTCTGTAAGTCTGCCGTTCACGTGTTTCTGCAGATGCTAATGCGCTAAAAATGGTGAATACACCCTCTATCATTTTAAACTTCAAAAATTTGAGAAATCACAATTGTATGTTATTTAATTTCGCAGACCACAATTCATTGTATATATTACAGATAACATATTTCTTTTTTTCAGTTGGACCAATCGTTGGCGGTATTTTCCTAGTTCTTTTTGCGGTGATGGTGTTCTTATGCTGCAGACGACGAACCGCGTCACGTGACACACGTCATCAAGGTCCACCAATGCCCGCTTATGACAACAATATCTATGCAACCCCATGTGACATCAAACTTCCTGCATACAGTGACCTTCCGATGAATCCTCCAGCTTATAGCATCACCGGAAGTGAAAAGGACGTAGAGTACATGTCAGTGGCGCCACCTAGCTACACAAATCCCGGTTATGAAACGCTGAAAGTGCATGTTGGGAGGTCCGGATCTGCGAAGTCGAACAAATCTGATAAATCTGAAAGAGTGCCAGACGATACGAAATAAATATTAAAACTTGAACCATAAGCTTATTTTTGTATCAACCCCTATTTCTGTCTAGAACGACTTTCAAGGAAGACTATGACTCTTTTTGGTAGAAGTTTGTCTGTTACACTGAATCTCTTCGGTTCGTTTCAGTAACGAAGTTGTACATATAAATCTTGTTATTTTTATAGTTGTTAGATTTGTCATTTGTAAAATGCTGGACGTTTTTCTTACATTAATTTGTTATGATTTTGAATTTAAATGTTCAATGTTAAGAGCTAAAGATTCCTAACAATAATTTTTGATAGGCGCCAATGAAAAGTCTTGGTGCTTCTTGACTTTGGGCAATGTTTTAAACATCTCATAGTATAAAAATATAATTCGTATAAAATGACATTTTCTTGGGCTGGAAGTGAGATATGCCTCATGAATATGTTTTTTTTTTTAAATCTACATGCCTCCAGATGAGTCAAAATATTTCAAGAAAAAACAACTTAAGAGAAATGTAATACGATTTTATGAAAGGTTAAAAGATTCAAGATTTTAGTTATAATTTACATGTTGTATACGATTAATTAATGATTCTGCAGTATTAATCACATTATTTCTACTGCGTGACTAACGCAGTAAGGGCTATGTTTTGCCTCTTTTGCCATATTTTTGGTCATTTAGGTAGTACGTTAGTACCGTTTCCAATGCTTAAATAACTTATTTTGTTCACTTCACAATATCTTACCTCTATAGTACATATTCAAATTAAATTAAAATTAGCATGAATCTGGAGGCATGCTGCTTTGTAATGGTTCAAGAATCGACATCAAAGAGTATGTTTAACATAACTTACCAATCGTGGCTAAGACGTTAATTATGCATTATATTTATATATTTTTTATTATGATTTTCCAAATAGCTATAGTTGTTTTGCTATAAAAAAATTTCTAAATATTTTGCCTGTTGTAATTAATTTGTTGTTTTTAATACATTTGTATATAAATTTGTTGTTTTTAATACATTTGTATATAAATTTGTTGTTTTTTAATACATTTGTATATATATGTTGTTTATGAAATTGCAAATATTGAATTAGATAATGTATTCTTATTCTTATGCTTTACTTACAAAATATTTGAAGTTTGTTAAAGTAAAAAAACTGCTTTGATACCCAGCTGTTTTGTTATTTTTTATGTCTTTACACTGTACTTCTATATTCATCGTTGCTGACAAAAAAAACTTAACTTCTAGATATTGTTGGAATGCTCTATAGAAATTATCCCCCTTGCTCATTGACGACGCTTTACGTAAATGTGCGTTAAGTCAGCACAAAACAACAATATTGTGTTTAATAGGTAGTAGTTTTTTTTAATATTTTAATTAGATTTTATAAGGAAATGATGGAAATAGGAAAAATCTTTCAGTTCATTTTTATACAGTACTAATTAGTCATGAATTGCTATGATAAGTTCAAAATTGTATTCACAGCTGGCGTACCCACGCTACCTTTGGGCAAAGGGTACGGCGGCAAAATCTTTCAAAAATTTTTGAAGAAAATGTATGAACTTAAGCCCCTACACGGAAAGCACGTCCTCGGATGCCTGTTTTAAGTATATATAAGCCGCGTCACGACAAAACCAACATAATGGGTTTGCGACCAGCATGGATCCAGACCAGCCTGCGCATCCGCGCAGTCTGATCAGGATCCAAGCTGTTCGCTAGCAGTTTCTCTACTTGTTATAGGGTTTGTAAGCGAACAGCATACATCCTAATCAGACTGCGCGGATGCGCAGGCTGGTCTGGATCCATGCTGGTCGCAAACCCATTATGTTGGTTTTGTCGTGACTCGGCTCATATATGATTTTATAAAATTTCTTCTCGACTGATTTAGCGGATGGAAAATTTTCTTAACAATCAGTTTGGAAACAGCAAAATCCATTTATAACATGTAATTCAAAATAAACCTAGTTTAACTTAATTTCCATGGCCCACTGTTGTCCTTATTAACTAGCGTTCTTACACAAAATTACCATTCTTTCTTTTCTTTAATACTTTATTTAAGCTTTCAAAGCCTTTTTGTAATCTATCTTTTTTGTTTTGACTTGAAGTATTTCAAATGTCTCAGAAGATTCGGGAGATCAATCAAAATGAAACAAACAGGAACAAGTGTTATTATAACCACGGCTAGACCTCCGATTGCCTTGGACGAATAACGCGAATCCGCCGCACTTGTAAGCTTCCTCTTTGCTCGACCAGTCTCTTTAGCGTTCACCACGAGTGATTCATTTAGCTGACCACTGTTTACAATAGTATCCGAGATAGACACGTTCCTCATAATTCTGATCAACTCCGCAACGGTCAGTGATGAAAAAAGTTTCAAACAGTAAACGCTACAATTGTGGTGTTGTATAGTCGATTTGTCACCGGAAGTTGAAGCTGTCGTGTCCGGATATGGTCCGTGTTGGCTTACTGTTGACGTGTTGTCGTGTAAACTATGTTCAAAAATTGTTTGGACTTTCGTTGGTGAAATATTACTGTAAGTTATTGATGTAAACGACTTTTGTAGTGTTAAAGAAATCGATTCAGCACCAGATACAAAATTTAGCGATGTAAGTAAATGTGGATGTTGGACGGAGGAGAAGAATGAGGGCTGAATCGTAAAGGCCGGTAGATTTCCTTTGGATATTACTGGAGCTGAGGTTGTCTCGAATATACTAGATAACGGGATGTGAGATAACTTCGTGGCTGACATGGTGGGTGTAAACCCGAGACTTAGTTCGCAGATGTAACCATGGAGTTGAGCACATCCAGCTGCCATCACTGTGCTCGTGTTGGACAGCAATAGGCACGAGTTTGTTAGGTAAGGAGCCGATCCTGTTAACAATTAAACAACTTCATTTATCATTCAATAAAAATGATATACAAAATTGTGGAATACGTATTTTATTCTTTGGGTATATTATGACTGTTGCACAGCCCCTCAAAACTCCGAAAACGAAAGTAAAATGGTTTACTCTGAGTTCACCCAAGGTAATGTTTCAACTTATTTCTCCATCATAACTTCATCAATTTTTCCAAACTAAACAATTTTGTGAAGCTAAATATGTCGGGGTTTAGAGCAGTATTTGCTTTTTTCTGCAAATTAAATACTTTTTGTTAAATTAGCGATAAATTGTACCGTTTTTGTTGACATTTGCGAACGATGTTGATAATCACCTGTAAATCAGGTCTAAAAGGCATTTGTTGTATCAAATACGTATTTGATATAAAATATAGACCTCCTTCTACTGAGTGGTTCTATTTGAGTGGTCATACATCAACTCGAGCTGCTTTTAGCAAAATTTGCGAAAAAACGACCTTGCCTTGTGTACAGAGTCTAGCACGGTTGTGTACGATGAGTAGATGGAAATCTGTTAGCAAGTGTACGGGGTGTAGTAGGTAAACGAATGCTATATTTTCTGCAAAAACTAAACTAAATGATGTACCTAAGCATACACGAATAACGATAGATGCCGGGAGCAGGGATCGAAAAGTGAATAATTTTATCAATTTTAAAAGGATAAAAAAGTGTTAAATGAAATAAGAAACATTATACGTAGCATAAATATCAATGTTAGTAAACCGTTTCCGTCCTAAGCTAGACTACTTTTTATGCGTGATTTTGAGAGAAAAAGTCAAACCCTACTACATGTAGTATAGACTCAATCATTATAGATTGGTTGAACTTTACAATAGAATTCTATAATTTATCTTAAACAATATCCAATTATGTTCAAATCATGCATTGTGAACAATAAGTTGAATAGTCTTTTATTGCATATATGATATCATTCACCAATTCTTTTACATCAACATAATTACACAATATACAAAAGGGTTGGGCCAAGAGTTTTTGCAACATTTTCATGGGTCCTTTCCTGTAGGATAATAGCTGACCACATATTACTTTGCAGTCAGGTCACGTTAAATCGTGGAAGTATACATATAGTTTTATTGTAAACGTTGAATATAAATTTTAAAAGCAGGGGTGTAGCCAGCTTTTTCAACTTGTAGGCCCATAAAAATGACAAAAACAAGTTCAGATGAAAAAGAGCAAATGCGCGTCAAGGAAAATTATCAAAACAATAATTTTTAACTATGAATTTGATAAGATGCAAACTGAGACGGTAGATCATGCATAAGCCTAAAACACAGTTGATCCGACCATACGGCTTGAACACTCTACCAATCCCACCAACGCCTGTTTTTATTGTATTTTTTTCATCTTATGAAAACTAACTTTGCCCGGGCCTGCATGACCTAATGGTAGCTACGCCATTGATTAGTCTGTCAAATTAAAATTGTTCCAAGTATTTTAATTCTAAGCTAACATATTGATTAATTATTCAATGTGGCTAAAATGGTTTTATTGAAGACACGTGCTAATGCCGTTTTATAGAAAATGACACCCGTGCATAATCTTTGAAGTGCCTGATCAATTATCCAGCTAGCTGTCTTTTTCTCTATGCATAATGAGGTGACGTCTGCCCTTTCAGGCTCTGAGAGTACGGACCCCAGACATGTCACCAGTCATGCCATGTCCTTAAATATTATGTTGATGTTTTGAGTTCTGTAATTCATTGAATGATACCAAAGAATATGCAATCATTTTCATATTTTAATTGAGATAATGTACGGGAGGCCAATGAGACCATTATATGCATTATATTCATGTGTATAAGTGTGTAAGCATGTGATTGTCTAATCTCAAGTTATTTGCTCTCTCACCTCTCACGAAAACAGTATAAAAAGAACAAAAACATATTATAAAGTAATATATGAATTGACCATACATGCATATGTTTTTATCTAAATAATGCCCAACTGTTTTTTTTTGTAAGAAAGCAAGTGGCTAAATAGAATGACATATTTTCATGTTACAGAATGAATTTAAGTAATTATTGAAGTTTACAATCAATATTTTGTTTCATTCCTTGCATCTGAATGACTGCCAGCTTATAAAAGACTATAGAATTTTAAAATATGTGACTGCTAGACATCGTAACATTCTACTTAACCCTGTCCATTCAACTTCTACAACCCAGCCACTTAAATTTGTATTTCTGGCTAGATTCTGTCCGTTTTTCGCAAATTTTGCTAAAAGCAGCTCGAGTTGATGGATGACCACTCAAATAGAACCACTCAGTAGAAGGAGGTCTATTATTTATATTATATACGGATTTTGATACAACAAATGCCTTTTAGACCTGATTTACAGGTAAATATCAACATCGTTCGCAAATGTCAACAACAACGGTACAGTTTATCGCCAATTGAACAAAAAGTGTTCAATTTGCAGAAAGAATACAAATACTGCTCTAAACCCCGACATATTTAGCTTCACAAAATTGTTTAGTTGGGAAAAAATCGATGAAATTATGATGGAGAAATAAGTTGAAACATAACATTGGGTGAACTCAACGGAAACGTTTTTACTTTCGTTTTCGGCGCTTTGAGGGCTATCGCCGGTGGACGCTGTACAACAGTGATTATTATTGCTTAATTTGCGTGCAATAAGTATTGCGAAAAAAAAAAACAAAAAAAAAACAGATCATCCAAAATAATTTGGATATACATCAATCAATCCATCAATGTAAAGGCTAAAAATTTAGCCCTCACTGAAGAAGACAGGGCGCTTATCTGTATGTTATTTCAGAAAAAGCAAGTACGTTATAATTATCTCAAATTTACATGACCAGAAAGAAAACAGCATTACTCGACTTAAATTTTATTTCAACTGATATTTAGAGAAAATTTAATTCAATGACAATGAAAGAGGTGGAATATTTTCATTTACAAAAAAATCCTATAACTGACCTACCTTCTAACCAATAAGAAGTGTTTGCTGAAAGATTAAAGTTTTCAATGTCTTGAAATTTAGTTCCGGTTGTCAATGCGTCTGCGTGAAGGAGACTTCCGGAATGTGAGATACACTCTTCTTTCGAAGTCACGTGATCTAATTTCTTGGCTGGTTCACTAACGTAGAATAATTTGCCATCTTTTGAAAGATGTCTTGTTGAAATTTGCGAAAATAGTGTAGCGCCTGAAGAAAATAAAACATTAAAGTTGCATGCCTTCAGATAAGACAAAATATTTTAAGAATAGAAACTTGATAAAAATGTAATAAGATTTTTAAGAAGTAAAATTATTCAAGATTATGATATGTGGAACTTTGCAGAAAAAAATATGTGCTACCATTTTATATTTATATTTTAAAATATTTAATTTATGTGGTAAAAATAAATATCAAAGATAAAAGTAATAATTTGCATGTTATGTGTTATTAATAACTGATTTTGCTGTATTAATTACACCATTTCTACACCGTGACTAACGCAGGGCTATTTTTGCATATTTTGACCTCTTTTGGGGAATTCGTGTGGATTGTAAGTATTCTCATTTTTTTTTGAAATTATCGTAAATATGTAAAGCATGCTGCTTTAATATTTTGACAAAATAGAATTATGTGTTCTTCCTTTTTAGAATATAATTCACGCTACCACTTTAACGATATTTGATATAATTATGCATATAAGAATGATTGTTTACAATAGTTTTAAATAATCTGACCACTATGACTAATGACGTGATTTTTTCAAAGCAGGTCACAATGCAATTTTTAGAATTCTTTATAGTTGTCATAATGTTTTACCCTCTGAGAAAAAGCAACAACAAAAAAAAAACTCATTTCATTACATAATGCTTCTGTTTAAAGATCTACATGTAACGTTCTTCTATTTGAAGGAGCAAATAAAAAGAACTTTAATTAATCTATGCGTTTGCTCCGGGAGTGAAAACAACAGGTCTAAGTGTCTACGGTTCGTGATTTGAATATTCAAATCGGACGATTTCAGGTATTGTTATGTGGCGCTAAGCCGCTTATTTGTGGCAACTGCCATATCCTTCAGAAACAATTAAATTAAATAAACGAACACATAATTTATTAAATTACTTACTCAAAATGCACGATGCAAATTTGAAATATCTCATTTCGTAAACTATACATGTACACTCGTTAAAGTCTCCCTATTATATCTTTTTTATGCGTCCACAGAACTGTAGTAAAAATTCCCTAAAGATTACCAAATAGCAAAGATTATTACGTCTGTAAACCAATATTAAAGTTATGAAGATATTGACCAAGTGTGATTTATGTTTAGCAAAGGTTTCCGTTTAATTCATTTCCAAATACTACTTTATTTAATATGTTTGCCAAGAACTTGAAAGACTGGCATTAACAGCGAAGATAGCAACATTTTATCGCCACGCGTAAATAACGGCTCTTGCTTTTGCTCTTTACGCTTATTCAGATAAAGCAATAAAATCTATGGCAAAAAGCAATCAAACCTTTAACTTATTGTAAAAAAATCATTTATGTATATTTGATATAATATTATATGCTATTTTGGTTTTAGAGTGATATACGTGGATGTATTACCTACCTAGATTTTAAATCAACCGAGCCGTATATAATAGAGGAAGAATTTGAATTTGAGACTTTATGAAAAATATGATAGACATGTAAATGAGCCGTGTCACGACAAACCCAACATAATGGGTTTGCGACCAGCATGGATCCAGACCAGCCTGCGCATCCGCGCAGTCTGACCAGGATCCATGCTGGTCGCTATCAGTGTCTCCACTTGTAAAAGAGTTGGTAAATGTCTCAAATGTTTTAGAAAGCATAACCTTGAAAAGGTTAAATGTTATGTACGAGTGCAGATGCACTAGAATGATATGTTAGAGTAATAAACATGTATAAAGGAAAACATTTTACATTGTATCTTGTTACGGCCTTGTAGACTATTCTTTCCCTTTGAGGTGTTGACTAACATTCATTTAAAAGCCCATTATTCCACAGATATGCATTAATTTTTATTTCTCAAAAGCCTTTTATTTTTAGTATCCTGTAAAAGTAAAAGCTTCCAAAATGATATTTTTTCACATAGCTGAACCCCACTTTTTGTTTTTTCCTATTGATTGTTGGCAATAAGATAGTTAAAGTGTTTTTATTAGTATTTTGTATGGAAGTCAAAATACTACTTTGTTTACTTTTGCTACTTTTATTACAAACAATTTCACATTCAGTGCAAATTTGTTCTAACTTGTTAATCATCTAACATGCTCTAAAACCATTATATTATTTTATTATATTATTTAAATGTTATAAAACTCACGTTTTTCCTTTCTTCAAAAGACAAAAAATCATTTATAAGGCATACTGTGCCTTTTACTTAAGATATTGCAATGCTCTTTTATCTGTTGTATACAAAAAGCATTCAACCGTATAAAGCTATATCATATAATAATAATAATAATAATAATAATAATAATAATAATAATAATAATAATAATAATAATAATAATAATGATAATAATAATAATAATAATAATAATAATAAAAACAATAACAATAATAATAATAATAATGATAATGATAATGATGATAATAATAATGATAATGATAATGATGATAATAATAATAATAATAATAATAATAATAATAATAATAATAATAATAATAATAGACAATTTAAAGATAAATAGATTTCTACCAATCAGTGATTTTCTTTGGCTTTTTTAGTTGGACGCCGCCATTTTAAATGTTACCCAGTGATAATGGTATTCATTTATTCCTACATACAAAACAAACTAATTTCTTTTATTTCATGCCTTTGTCTGAATTTTGCAGCGTAACGACATGCTCTCTCATTCATGATGCCATTAAATCTGCATGTTGAAAAATAATCTTGTAAACTTTTACAAATAACAATTAAAAAAATATATGTGTGCATACAATGTGCTTTTCGTACAATCAAGCACAATGTACTCACGACGGCGTATTTTTCTGACCAAATTTTTCCTTAATTAAATAAGGTTATTTTTTTTTCATATGCATTCTACGGTGTTCCGTTAGTGCCAGCGCGTTTTCTCTGAGAACGGAAACCCCGAAAAATGACATTACGATGGGACAGTAAGATGGTGACAGTACGACATTACGATGGTGACAACACGATGAAGAGACACGACAGTGCGATGATGACAGTCCATAGAACTGTCGTACTGTCACCATCGTACTGACGTACTTTCACCATCGTCCTGTCCTGTTTCGCGCTTTTCGTTCTCAGAGAAAACGCGCTGGTCCTATCGGAACACCGTATCATTCAGATATAGTCCGGCTACTGTGAAAATTATATTAATTTTTATAATGTCACCGTGTATCAAAATATAATTTCACTGTCCACTGAAAAGCATAAAATAAACATAACCTTAAAACGATATACTGGACTATATTTAATAGACTAATAATAATCATATGAACAAAGAGCGCAAATTAATGCACTTATAATAGTTTTAGTTATATACGAAAAGATGGCCAGTATTTTTTTATCTAAACAATGGCGCCGGGGACATTTCAGCATAAATGATGATGAAGTAAATTAAAGTATAAAATGTCATCCAAGGTAGAAATGATCTTGAGATGTATACGATTAGTCCACCATACAAAAACCAGAAAATTGTCAGCACAGTACGGCTTCTTGAACTTCTTATTCCGTGGTAAATTACATTTATTTCGGCAAAAAGGAGAGCAAGTACGCCGGAAACGGAAGTTGCGTGAAATCGAGTAAATCTTGGACGATTATTTACGACATCGTCGTTTGCGTCTATGATGCGCAAATTTCCAAATAGAGGAGCTATTGCAAGTTCTTGTTCCGAATCGTCTTCTTCACTCGATGACGTCACGGTATTGTCTTCTGTAAGTCCTTCATTTTCATCTGCAGACGATGTTGGTGGGTCAATTGGTTCAAAAAGTTTCGGCGTTTTCTCCAGATTTGATTTGGAAAGGATTTTATGAAACAAAACATTTCTGTATTCGGTTTTTGAAATGCTATCGTCATCGTGGAATTCAGACGACTCTTTACTTGTGTCGTCTAAATGTAGATTTTCTAGATCTACTTTTATGTTGTGGAATGCGTCATCGTTTCCGGCTTCGCCACTGTCTTGATCTTGGTCTGTTTGACAACTTATAGATCTCAATTTTATGATGTTAACACTTCCCGACTGAAATAATTTTAAAAATTATAATGAATAATTATTTACTAAAAAATCCATTTTTGTTAACTGACACCTATAACTGTCATTATCATGTACTATTATATTGCTAAAATAAAATCCACACAAACAAGTTTCTTTTCTATAGGGATAGCATCGAATTCGCAATCCAGGGGGCGCTGGTTTGATCCTTGGGCGGGGTAGGGGGCTTGACAACTGATCTCTGACATTGAGTCCAGTGATCATTAGTCTCTCACCGCTGATTGAGATTCGTTGCCGGTCACAAATTGAGAAAAAAATTGTTATAACCGGTCAGTTACCCAGAAAAGCTTGTTGGGTTGATTAACCGTCGAGATATGACCAAAAAAAAAAACAACAAAAATTCTTCATCATTTAAATGGTTTAATCTATGCAGCACTTCATAAAAGAACTCTAATTTTTCTTTTTTACTGGTTACGTCATGTGTATAATGATTACGTCACATGACTAAATATAGAACGTCAAACAGTGATTTTAACACTTTCGGTTCTTCTATGTTCAAAAGGGAAAAATGCAGGTCGTGATAGAATAATATTTTTAACACTATAACTTATCATGATAGTTCATAAACATATAATTCGAAATACAATTATAAAGGTCATAACTGCACCACGTTTTTAAAAAAGGCCATCTTTGAACTTACCGAGTACGGAGAGTCAAACCATTCGTTCATAATTTCCCGGATGGCATAATTTATGGCTGCTTTGCGCCTTATGATAGGCCTTGCTAGACTCAACCTCCGGCAGGATGGGCATCTGAACCGCAGTCGGTCTAATGGAATTCGGTGCTTTGCGGCTCGCACTATTCGAGCAAGGTTCTGCAGGCATCTAGAGATAAAATGAAATCGTTTTTTTTTAAAATATTTTTTACACTTAATTTAACAAATAACTATGGTCTACATATGGGTAATAATCCATAGGCACTAAATGGCAAAACATTTTTTATATCGACTACCCTTTGTGACCGCCTACCCGCCGTGATTTTTATAATTTTTTTATCCATAACAGCCATTTGTCTGTAGGTAAATCTAATGCCCCGGTATTACGTTAAGATTTTACTGAAAAACAACCTAAAACTCCGAACCCATCCAAAAATTTAATCGAAGCTAGGCTTCCAGCTTTCTACAGAATTTATCTATCAGGATTAGGATCCAAAACTATTTAGCCAATCAAATTTAATCTTACATAGCGTCTAAAAATCTTCACTTTTCACGCCATTTTTAAAAAGCAGCAAGTATTATTTTGAGCGCAAAGATATAATGATGATTAAAATGTTTGTTTTCATGAAATCTTTTCAAAAAATCATATTTACACTGACGTTTGTTTTAGCGATCACACCTGTTCCTCTCTAGTAAGTTTTCATTTGGTTAATTAACATAAGTGTACATCTGGTTCTGTGCATTTCTTTCTTTTTCCTTTTTTCCGGTTATTTTATCCTTTATCGGTATTTAGTGTATATATTTACTGGCCGGGGTGTAATGAACGTTAAATTAATTAAACTTAGGATAAAAATATATTTAGAGGAATTGATTAACAAACTTAAAATGCGGAAATCCCAATACTTATAATTATATGCCTAATTAATTGGAAAAAACAAAGACTACATTCTTGCGATCCCAGCTTTTCTGAAAACTATATTCTTGAACTGGCGAATTCCTGTGATATCTTTTTATTTTAATACGATCCCGGCTTTTCTGAAAACTATATTCTTGAACTGGTCAATTCCAAGGATCCCTATATGTTTTAATATGATCCCGGCTTATCTGAAAAACATCTTAGACTTGTCAAAATCCGGGATCCCTATATCTTTTTTAATAGTATCCCGGCTTTTCTGACAACTTGTGTTCACTTTAGGACTTGTGTCTGTCACTCATTCCAATACTAAATAACATATTACAACTTAACTTCGTATAAAGAGACATCTTTATGAATTCTACCTATCTAATATTTTTTGGTCAAGTTCAACAGGACATGCAGTAAATGTGCATAGACATAGGGACTTCATTCTATCTGTTTACAAGCATCTTCATATATACTCATATTCCTCTTTGTTAAACTTAGAGAACTGGCTTCCATGACCTTTTTCACTTTAATTTTGATGTTCGCTGAAGTCTCTTCAGCTAAGACTTCAGCTAACAGAACTATCATTTTTAAATTTAAACGCACCCTGGAAAAAAATTACGAAGCGAGTTGCTACTAGCTTTTTTAAAAGCTAACGTTGTAAGTATATAAGTCACAAAAGTAGTTTATATACACAGTAGATATACCTTTTTTTCAAAAAGGCGTTTTGTCGGACAGAGAAGTGTGTGTATGTTTAAGATAAATGTTCATAAAAATCAAGGCGGGTAGTCGGTCACAAAGGGTAGTCGATTAAAAATCTTTTTTTGCCATCAAGTGCTTATGAACCTGGGAAGGGCTTAGTCTTATTAATGTTGTAAGAACTTGTTGCCCAACCCATTTGCATTTTGATATATACCCATTGTTTGTATGATATGTTTGTAAACCTGTATTTAATGCAATAAAATATGTTTAAACTAAGTGCTTATGAACACACCATAAAAAGATTATTATCTATTTTAAAATTTCTCGTTACACCTGTTCTAAAGTTTTCTTCACGCTATATTTTAACAAGCAATATATATAATACATTTCAGTAACATTTGAAATGAAATATGCACCGTACTTTCTATTTCGATTTCGTGAAAAATACAATGCAGATGAATAAGATTTGTATGATATCGGCAATATTTTCTTTACTTTGTTTAAAAATGTTGGCGACAATCTACCCATGAGACCACTTTCGACCAAGATAAACCGGAGAAATTGTTACCTTCACTGGACGGTTTTTTAGTCACATCTAGTCGCTTTTTAACCCAAACACAATTTATCTTACTTAAAAGTGATTAATAATTTTGACCTGATTTAAAGACGGGCATGTCCATTTAAGAAAATTAAAGTTGTAATTAAGGGTTTACAAAAAGTGAAAAATAAAATTTAATTTAAGAAAAATGAAAATAAACTGACATACCTTAGACAAAATGTATGGCCACATAAAAGTGTATGTGGTTTAACAAAGTAATCCCAGCAAACTGGACATTTAAGACTATGAATCAAGGAATGTGGCTCGGCAGGCTCCCAGTTCGAGTCTGTGGACTCAACCGCCATCCACGCCGCACAACGAACCCTCAACCTTAACCTTATATAACCTGTACCCTTATAATATGCTGAATTTTCTTTCTGATTAAAAAACAAAACCAAATGGTTCCTTGCGTCAATGATAGTCGATGTGACGAAGATCCATTGACACCGTGGTAACGACGTTACTAATATAGCGTCGGTTGACGTTGTATTCTGACGTCACAATTGGCGCCAAATAAGGCGAATATATTTGCCTTGAAACTATGTTTAATACAATGGTAATACTTACATGCCCTTATTTATAGATATATCTTAAGCACGATAGTCATATTTATATTTAATATTTTATATGCGTTAAATGGCCGATTTCTAAATGACTAGAACGGGTGTTGTTTTTTTTTTCCAAAAAAAATAAATAAATAAAAAAATTGAATCCTTCCATAGAGCGTTCATTGCATTCAGCATAAAATACTTTTAAAGAAATAGTTCAAATCATAAAGCCATACTCAAGGTATTTTTCCTACCTTGTTACTTACTGGAACTCACTCGTGTTTCCTTTTTCTTATATTATATCGCATCCTACATGAGCCTGAATGTCCTGCGAGGATGGAAATCATAATTGAGCCGTGTCACGACAAAACCAGCATAATGGGTTTGCGACCAGCATGGATCCAGACCAGCCTGCGCAGTCTGATCAAGATCCATGCTGTTCGCTATCAGTTTCTCTACTTGTAAAAGGGTTGCTAAGCGAACAGCATGGATCCTGATCAGACTGCGTGGATTCGCAGGCTGGTCTGGATCCATGCTGGTCACAAACACATTATGTTGGTTTTGTCATGACACGGCTCATATTGTTTAAATAACATAATTATAAAAAAGAACTGAAAGAGTTTAGCTTACGTTGTATATTATGTTTGAATACATTCTTGTTAGGAAAAAAAACAACATCTGCGTGCGAATCGCATGGTCATGAATTTAGTTTACATACATACAAAAATGCAAGTATTTAATTTTCAGAAGCTTTTTATTTTAAATGATGTCATGCTACAGTTTCTAAAAAGTTATTTATGTAACTGTCACACTGCTGATCCATATTTATCATCTATAACGTTTTGGCAAATAGTAAATTCATAGTAAACGAAAGTCAAAATATCACTTTGATTACATTTAATGTTTGTTACTTTTGAAATATTTCCCCTTTTTGAACAGCTCTTGACATTTTTAATGTTCTGAAATTACATTATTATTAAACCCAAGTTTGCTCTTTTTACAGAAAGGATTATCAAATTTCGCCGTAAATGTCAATAACCACCTTATTAAGTAATGCTATATTTAGTCTAACTTGTACACTAATAGCATTAGCAGACGACTTTACTTTAAAAAACTTCCAAAATAAAAACAAACGAAAAGAAAACAAGACAAACAAAAGAAATAGCGCAAAGAACCAAAAGAAACACCCCCTCCAAACCCTTCTAACAACTGAATAAAAAAGAGAAAAAGAAAAAAAGACGCATGCGCAAGGACCATTGTATACCCGTTTTTAATGAAGTATCAATTTTTACATTAATTTCTAAATTTAGAATTCCACGAAAAATTATGCAAAAAAAAAATCCTAATTTGTAGCGTTCAAGGTTAACAGAATACTTGTTTAAACTGCTTGAAATATTTGCACAATGTAGTTTGAATAGTAGTTTTGCATAATACGTCTAACCACATTATTGCTTCGTTTAGAATTCCACGAAGTGCGATCTGATTTTGGGAAAAAAAGACAGTAGAAATCGATAGGCAATCAGGACGCAGGTTTAGTTAAAACTTGAAGGTAGGTGAATATTCTTATTCATTTATTTTTGTTGTTTTTTGTTTTGTTTTTCTCCATATTTACTTATTTGTGCAATCCGATTTTTAGATTTATTGCAAAGTTTTTTTTTGTTTTTTTTTTCTGTATTATATATTTTCATGTATATTAATATAATATAAAAAGAAAAAACCTTTAAATCCGATTTCATTTTAACATTTTTGTTAAAGACTGAATTTCAACGTTTATTTTCACTATTTACAATCATAGAGAATAATACGAGAATAATACGCATTCAATTTTTACAACCATCTTAATATAAGATGGTTGTAAAAACTAAATGCGTATTATTCTCTTTGATTGCAAGTCGTGAACAAATATGTAAAAATGCAAAAAAAAAAAAAAAAAAAAAAATGCAAAAAAATAAAATAAAATAAATCAGTCGATGTGTGTTTGTGCGTGTGTGCGTGCGTTTGTGTGCGTCTGTTTTAATATTTATATATGTTTATAAATATTTTAATCCTGCAACATACACGTAACTGAAAGTGACTTAGCTTAAGCCGGGCCAGCCAAATGTGAAATCTGACAATGCTCGCTATTTTCGTGTTTTATAAATATTCCTGGTTTGCAAATCCAAATTTAGCCTGGTTAATTTAAAGGTTAATTGTGATAAACATAATTCATATGTTTTCCGTAAAGTTATATTGTCAGTATTTATTTTAAAGTTATATTGTCAGTATTGATAACTTTGCACCAAAACTTAATTATTCTTACGTATCCATTTATATATAATGGATAACGGCCAAGTTCGCCGTATATACTAACATTGCTTGTATTGGCTCTAAAACATTGAAAATTCTTTTACAATATTTCATGTGAATATGCTATTATCTTTTGATTTGCTATAACCCCATACTTAAAATGCATAAGATATGATTGAGCCTACAAAAGAATCAAATAATTGGCATAATAATTTGAGTTTTAAAACCATGTCTTTACAATTTATCAATAATGTGTTCATTCCTTTAAAGCCTTACCAGTAAAATGTTTATTATTAAGAGAAAAATTGCCTGTATAGCTGAACACTGTACCTAGGTAGTTATAGTGGTCTATTACTTCTACTGTCTGACCGTTATAAGTCAATTTTTCGTTGATAAAAAAACGCCCTCTTTTACTAAAGACAGCAATTTTTTCAAAATATAAAACGGCGTGGCGCGGAGCGAAATTAAATTAAAAAAAAAACAACGGGGGCACGATGCGAAAACACGTATATTAGCATGTTTTCGCTCCGCGCCCCCGCCATTTTAACTTGTTTATTATCGACTTTTCGCTTGGCGGGCTCCGGGACGAAAGCACGCTAATAAGCGTGGGCTCGCGGCGAAGTTTTAATAATTTAACTTCGCCAAGCGCTCCCGCTAATAAGCGTGCTTCCGTCCCTCGGCCTCGCTGTTTTATTTGTTAAATTTCGTTACGCACCCCCGCGGGGCGAAGTTTTATTTATTTTATCCGCTCCGCACCCTCGCTAATTAGCGTGTTTTCGCTCCGCGGCTCGGCTATTTTTTGACTTTTCGCTTGGCGGGTGGCGGAGCGAAAACACGAATGACTCACATCCGCCACCATCACTTTTGGTTGAGTGTTTGACATGCACATACCATTGTACTACTGTAGTCAAGTTTCTTGAAATATAATACAAAATCGAACCTACAACCTTCAATATGAAACTGAGTCTAGTTTTAGTTAGCAACATAAACCATGTTCATTGGTTATGCAATACTTAAATTTCCATAAGGTAAACATAGGTATCCGATAATTACCGACAAAATGTAATTGGATATTTAAATATCTCAGGTTAATATTGCCAAACAATACTGAAAGATATTTTTTTTTCTTTCCACCTATAAACATTCCACGGGGGTCATTGACGCAGATCATAAAAAAGTCACGTGATTAGATACTTTGTTAATAAATAGAAATACGATACTTTATTTTTTGTTAAATAAGAATAATTATTTAAACTTCCTATGGTGGCATATTTCTGCCACCAGATAATCATTTAACTTACGTAACTAGTTAACCTCTTAACTAACCAGTTAGTTATGTGGTTGACTAGTTACGTTACTAGTTATTTTTTTCAATAAATAAAAGATCATAACGGGAAATAAATACATGTTAGTGCCTGCAACTGCCATCCTTATATTTTACCAGCTTGATATTTAGTGATTATTATGGAAGCTTGAATTGACCCCGAGAGATGCCGTGGTCCGTGATAATTTGTATGTGGTCATGTTGACATATATTAGTGCGACATGGCGTGTTTTACCATGGTTTGGATGGGAAAAAAATATAATCTTGACAACACCTGTATCACAGCATGTCGACTTTACTTTTGTCTATCATAAAAGAGGACTGGAGCCTAATTATTATTCGGAAACTAAATCCCGCCCATCGATTAATGATTGACGTACTGCATAACTATATCGTTGATTTCATTATTTATTAAGAAAACAATTTTGGCTTTAAAGTATATCAGTCTGATGTTTATTTTCGATCTTTAATACATGTATATCAATTGAGTTATGTATAATACGTGCAATAACCTTTCTGGAAACAAAACAAGTTAAATTACTTAAGTGCTCTTTAAATAACCTTTCAGCTTAAATTTTCAATGAACATTTTGAAGGTTATATGAATATACATATATAAAATATAGAAGGTTGCTTAGCAAACACTGACTGAAATTATTAACTGGTATAACTGCTTGTTAAACACGCATATACAAACAAGCACATACTCAGATTAAAAGACCTTTCAAAGTCCCTAGCTAATAGTACTACAGAAATGTTCTTTAAAGAATGAATCATTCGATGTATTCAGATTTTAGTTTGGTGGGAGGGATTAAGTTTCCGAATATTAATAAGGTCTTTCCGACAGTACCCATGGTGTTATGATGTTGTGATATTTACCAAAAGCAGAGATATTTCAAGGCTTGTTGAGATGAACCAGGTTGACATAGCTGTTCACAATTCTCATCAACTCAATTATGGAGAAGATTATATGTCGACATGCATTAAAACAGACGTTGCCAAGACGTCTTTAATATCCCACCAAACAATGATAGAAGGCGTCATGTCGCGTGAAAATGTGTCGACATGCCGACACACGAGTTATCACGCTTATGGCTTCTAGGGGGTCAATTCAAGCTTCCATAGATTATAGTTACGTAACAAGTTAACCTCTTAATTAACTAGGTAAAAAGGAGGATAACTAGTCACGTAACTAGATAACCTCTTAACTAACTAGTTGATTAACAGGTTAAAAAGTTACGTAACTAGTTAACCTCTTAATTAAGTATTTTTTTAATCTATTCTATGGAAGCTT